CCTCCCTGGGGGACAGACAACCAAAAAGTGGGTGAAGGGAGACATCGGGCAGGGCAAGATATGACAAAATACCAATTTATAAACTATGAAGGGCTCATGAGGGAGTGGGGAGCGGGGAGGGAGGGGAAAAATGAGGACCTAATGCCGGGGGTTTAAGCTGAGAGAAAATGTTTTCAGAATGATGTGCAAATGCGCTTTACACAATTGATGTGTGTATGGATTGCAATAACAGTTGTATGAGCCCCTAATAAAATGCTTAAAATAAATAAATAAATACATAAATAAATAGGGCATCCACTTCCCATTTGCTGCTTTTGGGGCCCATGTTGAAGATCAGTTGACTATATGCTGATGGCTTTATTTCTGGGTTTTCTGTTCTTTTCCATTGGTCTGAGTATCTGTCATTATTCCAGTACCATGCTGTTTCGACCACTATGGCTGAATAGTAGGTGCCAAGTAAGGCGAGCCCTCCAACTTTGTCCTTTTTTCTTTAGGAGTTCTCTGCTAATTCTGGGCTTCTTCCCTCTACATATGAAATTGGTGGCTAGTTTTTCCAGTTCTTTGAAGATGGTTGTTGGTATTTGAAACAGGATAGCATCACACTTATATAGTACCTTGGGTAAGATTGACATCTTTACTATATTGAGTCATCTGATCTACGAGCATTGGATATTCTTCCATTTGTGGAGGTCACTTTTTGTTTCTTGTATTAGGGTATTTGTCCATGTCTTCCACATTGTTGAATACAGACTCTCATAGTACTTTGTGGTTATCCTTTTTGTGATATCCGTTGTGATTTCCCTGGTTTCATCCCTCATCCTGGCTATTGATGTTTGCTCCTTCCTTTCCTTGCTTAGGTTTCCAGCAGTCTGTTGATTCTGTTGATCCTTTCGAAGATCCAACTTTTTGCTGTATTGATTTTTTTTGCATTGTTCTCTTGTGTTCCCACTTGTTTAACTCTGTCTTGATTTTTATTATTACCTTTCTTTTGCTATTGGAGGAGTTGTTCTGTTGAATCTGTTCTAGTTGCTGAGGTTTTTTGTTTGTTTGTTTGTTTCAGGGGAAAGTGTGGATGCAGTCCCTGCTAACACAAATTGTGCAGTTGAGTTTCCCACATTTGGGGAAATCACAGATGTGAGCGCAGCCAGAGTGCAATGGTTGAGCCTCGCCCGGGGAAAACCACCTTTGTGACCATGGTGTCTCCCCTGCCAGGTAAGTATTGCTGGAGGTTTTGTGATAGTGTATCAGTCATAAGTCTCTCTTCCTTTTCATATATGCACTAATTGCCATCAAACTCCCTGTGATAACTTTGTCCCATAGATTTTGGTACATTGTACTCTTATTCTCATTAGTTTCTATAAATTTCCTAATTTCCTTTCTAATCTGGGCCAGTACCCATTCGTGTCACAGAAGATTGTTATTCATCCTCCAGTTGTTTGCCCTTGTTTTTCTGGTCTCCTTTTTGTTGATCTCCAGCTTTATGGTGTGGCGGTCTGAAAGGAACATCTGAGTGATCTCTATGTGTTCGAATTTACTCAGGCTTGACTTATGTCGGAGCATGTGGTCTATTTTCAAATATGAGCCATGTGCACTTGGAAAGAATATGAATTTTTTTTTTTGCATTTGGATGGAGAGTTCTATAAATGTCTATCAGGTCCAGTCGACTAACTGTAGTATTTAACTCTGTAGCCTTCTTGCTGAGCTTCTTTCCCAGTGATCTATTTTTCTCTGATAGCGGTGTATTAAAGTCGCCTACTATGATTGTTGAGTCTGTGATTTAATTTTTCTTCTTTTGAATAGTTTGACGAATTTTGTGGGTCTCTCATTAGGTGTGTATATATTTATTATGCTTACTGGTTCCTGGTCTACTGATCCTTTGAGCATTACATGGTGTCCATCCTTGTCTCTTGAGGTCAATTTTGTCAGAGATTGGGATTGCAACCCAGCTTTTTTTTAAGTTGCTTTTTGCCTGGTTTATTTTCTACCAGCCTTTAAGTCTTAGTCTATTTTTGTCTGAAAATTTAGGATGTATCTCTTTCAAGCAAAAGATTGATCGGTTATGTTTTCTGAGCCAGTCTGCTAACCTTTGTCTTTTAATGGGCAAGTTCAGGCCATTGACATTTACGGTTATTACCGCCATTTATGGATTCATTGCTGTTGTCTTGTACCTTTTGTGTTGGGTGTTTTCCTATCTCCATATCAGGGCGCTGTGTTTATGTGGGGGCTTCATTTTTGTCTTCTGAGGCAATGTTATCTTGTTGATTCTTTTCGATGCATTGACTTCTGGATGGAGATGAACTATATGGCAATCTCCTGCTTGTGCTTAGTGGATGTTGGTCTTCTGACCACAGTTAGTGACAAGGATTTTCTGCAGGGTTTGGTGTCTTACAGAGTATTCTTTGAGGTTTTTCTTGTCTGGGAAGACTGTTACCTCACCATCTTAATAGTTTGGCAGGGTAGAGGATTCTCAGGTTGACATTTTTTTCCCTTTCTGCATTTGGAAGGTGTTACTCCACTCTCTCCTCCTCCTCATGGTATCTACTGATAGGTCTGAACATATTCTTCCCTGAGCACCATTGTATGTGAGCTCCTTTTTTTCTCTTGCTTCTCTTAAAATTTTCTTTTTCCTTGAAGTTGGATAATTGAACTATTATGTGCCCTGGTGAGTTCTTTCTAGGGTTTAGTCTAATTGGTGTCCTCTCTGCTTCCTGTATGAATGTCCGATTCACATTCATTAAGGTGGGGAAGTTTGCCTCCAGGAATTCCCTCGCTAATTTAGCTGTAGACTTCTTTGTATCTTGTTCTGGAAGACCAATTATTTGAATATTGTTCCTCTTCATAGCTTCTGTCACTGTTCTCTGTTTTTCTTCCACCTCTTTGATGATCTTGTTTGACTGTCTTTCGCATTTGTTGACGTCTGTCTGCTTGTCCTGGAGATCTCTCATAGGATTCTCTGCTTCTTCTAGTTTGTTGGTGAGGTTTGTTATCTTGTGTTTTCCTTCTGTTATCTCATCCATTAATTCTTGTATTTCCCTTTGGTGTGTGGGCACCATCCTCTCTATTGTGGACTTCATCTCCTCTATTATTGAATCCTTATTCTGCGTTGCTTCCCTTATATCCTGTATTACTCCAAGCAGCATTCTGAAGATTTCTTTTTGTTGCAGATCAACATTTTTTTTTCTATGAGCATCATTAGGTTTAGGATTTCTTCTGCTGTTATGTTTTGTTTTTCTTGTTTTCTTGATGGTGTTGAGGTGTGTTGCCATCTGTGTGTGTCATTTTGCAAGAACTGGGTGCCATGTTTCCGGGAGACCAAGGGGCCCTGGACTCTGTCTCTGTGTTACTGGTAGGAGTGGTTTCCTGGATTACCTGTGGTCTACTATGGTATATCGTAGTGTGTTGGGTTGTTGTGTAGGCGAAGTGCTGTGGTGACTCAGTGGCTGGAGGTGGTTGGGGATTTGGAGGGTTTGCTGAGGCAGGTGACTGGAGTTATTCCACGGGTCAGGTTGAGGTGGGCCTGTAGCATGGGTATGGATCTGATCTGGATTGTCTGGCCACAATTTGCAGTCTTTTAAAGACTCTCTGTCGAGTCCAAAACTGGTAGAGCCAGTTTTTGGCTTGAGCTGTGGCTTTCAGCCCATGACTTTTCTTGTTTTGTTATGTTAAAATCCTAGGTTGTGCTCTGGGGATTAGACTTCTGCCTGTCTTTTTATGCTAATATGCTAATAGACCAGGACCAGGGTTCTGGAAGCGTACATTAAAAGTTACACAAAGCAACACAGGCTGGAATTGTAAGCATTAGACAATTTTTTTTCTTTTCACAATGTGTTTGTGGGGTGCCCTGTTATTGGGACTGTGCCACGCTACCCCCCAGTTAAGGAGGATCAGATTAGCAAAGTGGTCTTGGGGCTGACTGGATCTGAATTCTCCCCTCCCCACTCCTTTGTCACTCACAGCTCTCATGCACAGCTATGACATAGGTAAATATCCTGGGAGCTCCTCACTTGCTGAAAATCAGTGACTAATTATCTATTGTTACCCATGCTGGCAGGCTCAGAGTTGGAGAGAGGGGTAAAGGTGACAGTCAATGGATTCACTCCCTTCCTGGCTGGGGTGGGATGATGCAAAGCTTGAGAATGCAAGAGCAGGGTGGCTAGCAGAGAGGGGAACTCCAGTATGTGGTCACGTGGCTAGTTCTTGGAGGTTCTCTGCAAGCCTGGGATTATGACCACGTTTAGACAGCAGCCTGGGGAAACTACTGCGTGCTGTGAGTCTCGTATCCTGGGCACAGGAAGAGGTGCCGGATGCTATCCTGCTGGATTTGGTAAGGGTTTAGTGGAGCCTTCAGGCAGACACAGTGACTTAGATTGTTTCAGTGAGTTCTGGAATCAATCCATGGGCAAAATTGCAGGGGGCGGTCTGAACCAGACCCTAGTACACTGAATGATTTTTAGCACCCAGCTTCCCAATATTGGCCTCCTTACCTCTTAATTTTCTAACATCAGGAGTACTGTGTGGGTGATTCTACCTGGATGTCATCTTGATTCATTGAATTTGATAACAAAAAATATTTTAAACTTAAAAAAATCATTTTATTAGCTCATACAGCTCTTTTCAAAATACATACATACATACATACATGTGTCAAGCACATTTGTAGATATGTTGCCATCATAATTTTCAAAGCATTTTCTTTCTCCTAGAGCCCTTGGTATCAGCTCCTCATTTTCCCCCCTCCCTCCCCTCCCCTTCCTCCCTCATGAATCGTTGATAATTTATAAATTATTATTATTTTTTTCATGTTTTACCCTGACCGATATCTCCCTTCACCCACTTTTCTGTTGCCCATCCCCTAGGGAAGGGGTTATATGTGGGCCATTATAATTGGCTTTCTCTTTCTTCCCCCACCTTCCCCTTCCCCTTCTGGTATCGCTACTCTCATAATTGATCCTGAGGGTTTATCTGTCCTGGATTCCCTGTGTTTCCAGCTGTTATCTGTACCTGTGTACATGTTCTAGTCTAGCCAGATTTGTAAAGTAGAATTGGGATCATGATAGTGGGGGGAGGAAGCATTAAAGAACTAGAGGAAAGTTATATGGATAACAAAAAATTAAAAAATCTTTCTCATCATCAGAGAAGGTGAACAGAGCAGTTCATCAGTTTTTCATACAAAACTCATCAAGCCTCCCAATATCTTCCCATTTCATTTTTTTCCAATTTCCCTCTTTGTTGATTATTGTCTTTCCTTTCACCCATGTTAACACTTGCCTAGCTTCTAGCCTGTGACTTCCCCATCAACCCTATTTCCTTCCACTCCTGGTAACCATCAAAGTAAGTCCGTTTCCTTTAGTAACACAAAGGTTTTACTCCTATTTCTGAAGGTCAGAAGTCTGAAATGAGTCCTTTGTGTGTATTTGTTTGTTTGTGTGTATGTGTTGTTGAGTAGATTCCAACTCATAGTGACTCTATAGGACAGGGTAGATCAGATCCAAAGGGTTTCCTAGCCTCTAATTATTTTTTTAAAAACAATTTTATTGACTTGTAATTCACATATCATAAAACTCAATAGTTTAACTATATTAAAAAGAGTTGTGCAGTCAACACCACAATTAACTAGAGAACCATTTTTCATTTGTACTCATTGTTATTAGCTCCCCTTTCTCACATACCCTTCCCTGTTACAACCCTAAGAAGCTATTAATCTAGTCACTGTCTATAGATTTACCTATCCTGGATTTCATATAAAGAAAATCGTTACCCCGCCCCCATGACAGAAACTAAATAAAACAGGCCTAAAATCAAGGTGTAGGCAGGGTTTATTCCTGATAGAGCCTATAGGAGGGATTGTTCATTTCCCTTTTCTAGATTCTAGAAAGTGTCTACAAATCTTGGTCCATGGCCCTACATTTACACCACCTTTTCTCTCTGCTTCTGTATTCATGTTGTCTTATTCTGCCTTTGCCCTCATACCTCATACCTCTGCCTTTGCCCTCATACACTGTGACTACATAGCATTCCCTCGAATATTCAGAATAATGTTGCTATCTCAAGACCCTTAATCACATCAACCAAACCCCTTTTGATAACATATTCACAGGTTCTAGGAACTAGTGTCTAGGCATCTTTGGGGGTTCATTATTCTGATTCATTTTTCTACCACATACAGTAAGAGCTCTTATACCACAAGAGAGGGGAAATAATGTCCTTTTCTTCTCAGAGA